ACGAATTAGACCTTACAAGACAGAAAGAAATACAAATCCAGCAACCTCCACGCGGTGTATGCTAATGCTTGGGTAAAGCTAATGCTGGCGGTAACCATCAGTGACAGTAAAAACGCGCGCGCGCGCACCCCCATCTTTTAAACTCAAAGATAGTGATAGAGTAAAAAAAGAAAGCCTTCTTTTGTTCACAAATGTCATTTGATCATTATAAAATACTTGCTGCTGAACGAAGCTTTCCTGGAGGATGTCTCGTAGCTTAGTGCGTGAGTGCGATAGATTAGTATGCTAAGGGTATGATCATGAGTTCAATCCCGATCATCTCACATATTCCTTTTTTAAGAAGAGATATCCCTGTTTAAGGGAAAAAGAAAAAACAATTTTAAAAGTTCTAAAAACTCGAGATTACAAGAAGGATCCCCCGATTAAGGGGTAGATATTGATTAAAAATAGAGATGCATATTTTGCATCTGCTTTCAATGATTTTAACTTTCATATTCGAGTTTAGCAAATCCAAAAACATAAAAATAGACAGATTTTATACGTTTTCCTTACAAGCAAAGTTTTGCCCTAAATGGGCACCGTTTTTTAATTTAAAAAAATGATGAATTAAAACTGTTATTTACGCGTAATTATCTTAATAAATTGTTATTCCTCAATTAAAGTATTGAAAAGTTAAAAAGTAACCACGACTATAATTGTACAAAGCAAATTATAAAACTTTGAACGGGAATTATCGAAGAAATGCGCTTTAAAACTTTACCAATCGTAAAATGCATTTCGTTCCTTACAATATTCTATATAACTTTCTTATTATCTTTTCGCGAATTAGGCTATCTATGAAATATCTAGTCATTCTAGTCCAATGTTCATTCGATTACAGTTTGTGTTCTTTTGTCACATATATATAATGTTTGAGAATATTTCAGTCAGAAGTATAATTTCATTATGCTTGAATAATTTAGGCGGGATATTCTTTTGAGAAAAATTTTGTTTCAAGCCACTATAATTGTTTAATCTCGAGCACTAACAAGTAAATCCAAACTTATCAATTTGAATAAAACTGCGCAGGTACATAAGATATACGTGTAACAATATGCTTCATTCAAATATCTTATCAATTTTTATATGCACGAAACTTAATCTTAAAAGAAATTAAAAAAATACTTTTGCGTTTCACGTAATGTTTCCTAATAAAATATACCGTTTTTTGTAAAAATTTCAAGATAAATTAAACACTAAAAGGTTGCATAAACAAAATATTGGTCGATTTTTCGAGATAGTAATTACAGAAATTGCAAAATTACATGCATGCAGTTTTTTGAAAATAATATTCTGCCGAAGTTTGACACCTATTCCCCAGCTTCGTTTTTTGCGAAAAATTCACCTGATCGACTCAATGCCTTCGTCAATCATCGGTGCCGTATCCCACTTTGATAGGACGTATGGTTCCTTAGAGAAGCCGCCAATGAACTGTCCGGTCATTAATTTGGGCATAATCAATGGCTTTAATAATGGCGCGATGCCATTTAGTCCGTTCAGCTTGGTTACTAAGCGCACAGGTATACCTTGGACATCGCTGCGCTTTCCTTGCGCTAAAAATTTTTTATATTATTTTTACAATACACTATTAATGCGTTAAACGTATTGGGTTATTAAAACGTATATTATTACTATTTAGGTAAGAAAATATATTTACTAAAAGTAACGGTACGTACCTCCCCAACAAGTATGTCCATAGTATAGACAGGACCCTGGATTAAAATGATAAAATGTATGCATTATAATATTGAATATATTACAATTTCCGGATTTGTAACTCCATTTTGTTGTTAACATATTTACATTTTACATCGCGTGATAGGCAAGTAAAAGTAAATATAGTGGAATGTTCAATAAAAATGTAGGTATGTGATATTAAGTTATGGAAATTTAATTTCGATTAAAACTGTAATATAAGATCACATGAGAATCGAATATAAAATTCGACTAAAGATGTAAAAATAATATTATGATGCGTCCATCTTTCTCCGGTGGATAAAACAGGAACCGTATTCAGTGCATTGCAAGAGAGAATGTAATAAACATTTATTTGAAGACTCTTGGTGTTATTATATCCCCCAGACGATGCTCTAAGAAACGATCTTGTGAATCGTCTATAAGCGATATGGAGAAGTTTGCCTCGGCATTCTTTGTACGCAATGAATGTCAGGACAGATAATATCCCGTAAAATTGGCTTTTCGTTATTACTTTATTATGATTTCGCTTAACATCACGTTTTAGAATTTATTACGCTCTGATTTTATTATGCTTTCATAGTAAAGAATTTGCTTATTTCGAGAATTAATATATATTAAGGAATTAAAGATTAAAGATTATGAAAAAATTCTTAATGCTAAGAATCACAGGTACCGATTAATATGTAGAAGTAAAATAATTATACAATATAATTAAAATAAGTAATATTTTTGTCCAGTCTATTCTTGTCTAGTAATATTTTATGCAACCTCATATCGATCAAACATCTAGATTGATGTTGTACTCCGCAACGTACTTTGGATCTATGTACGTCGATAATTCCATTCGTAAAATGGTTTGGGATTAAAAATCCGCGCGCGCGCGTGCATGCGTTAGAAGCTTTGAATGGAATCTCGATAAAAGAATAAATGAGAAGTGATTGAAACTGCAATAGCCGGATTAAAAGAATGCTCATCGAAAGGGTTGCAATGGAATAAATGGAATCGGGAGCATGGATATTTTATTCACGTTTCGTTGTGAAACGAAAAAGGAACGACATCCGGTTGAGTATATATATGTATATATTGCTTTTGCAGCTTTGCCGCTCTATACTACTCTATAGAATAGTATAGTTCTTTGCTGGGAAGCAAAGATGCAAAATGCAGCATATGAGCGAGAAAAATTCGTTTCTGTCCCCCGGAATGTGAATATATTCGATCTATCGTTTTTACGTAACACATGTACGATGTACGTAATATGTCAAGGGACTGTGGATGGCCGCGCGCGACTCCATTCTCAAAGCCCACGCTGATGGTTTTTGCTGGAATCGATCCGATTTAAACATTACGTTTCTCTCTATCAACCCGATGGTCTTTGACGTACTTGAGACGCGCCTTATTTGCACAAAGATTCGTGATAATCATTAAGGAAACGGCTGACTGACGGCTATGATAGTGTAACGAATAAGAGCACAGGCCTTCGCTATAGATAGTTTAGATTCAATTTCAATCTCGTCGCCATTGGATCATCGCAGCGCTATTCTCGAAATGCAGTCTAAACGAGAACTTTGCTCCGTAAAAATGAATAAAATAATCTTCATATTCTAAAATTTATTAAATTATGTACAATATAAATAAATTTTGGAAATTGATAAAAACAGATTTTTATTAAAATCAATAAAAATTTTCTCTATCTTATATAAATAGGCCGATAATATGAGCGAAATAAAAAGATAAATATTAATAAATTAGTTTATTCGCAACATAAATAAAAGAAAATTATAGTATACGTTTCGACTTTACTTAATCCTTCTTAAGCCTTCTTCAGTATCGAATTTTAAGAAATCTAAATTAATTTAAATAATAATTATAACAGGAAAAATTAGAACGGCAAATATTATCATAGATCATATGTGACATTATCAATTTATATTTGAGAAAAACAAAAAGGAGGTTTGGAAATGTGAATCTAAGGTCAAAACGACAGACTATAACATTGGAAAGAAATCTGATCTTTTAACTTTCGACTTTTTTAACATCTAACTCGAATTCTCACAAATCCATTAGACATTTTGGACAAACATATTCTCGCCTTCCAACGAAAAATACGTCACATTGTATCTTATTTTAACCATTGACTTTAACACTGCGCGGACGCCGCGCCGTGGATCTTTTAAGGCTCAGTCAATTTTTCGTATTTTACAGTTTTCTCCTGATGTTTCAACACTTATTTCCGAACCTTTTTGTTTTTCTCAAATATAAATTGACAATGTCACATATAGATAATCTATAATAATATTCGCCGTTCTAATTTTTCCTGTTATAATTATTATTTAAATTAATTTATATTTCTTAAAATTTGGTATCAAAGAAGACTAATTGTAAGTAAAGCCGAAACGTATATAGTAATTTTCTTTTATCATTTTCTTTATATTTATGTTGCGAATAAACTAATTTATTAATATATCATCTTTTTAGCTCATATTGTTGGCCTATTTATCATATTACTCTTGCATTGCATAACACGACTAACAATCTAATAATTTCTCTATCTTTTCCATCGTTAAATGTCATTAAAAAACTGCTAGATAATAATAACGCAAATATGCTGTATACATCCAGCAGAGCTCGAGATATTTCGAGAGTAAAAACAAGTATAATGTTAAGTAAATAATTGATTAAAGCTCCCCGTTGTACGTTAATTTATAATGTTATTTTATGCTGATTAATACGAAAATAATGAATTGTCACAATTAAGCAGTATGCCGTAATTACAGTGCGTTTCTACTTGACTTGTTAGTAAATTAAAAAAAAACTTTTCTTGCACTTAGCAATTAAAGAATTAAGTATTAAAAATATTAGAAGCTATAATATATAAAAACTCATTACAAATCACATCTTGAGAAAGGATCAAAGTAAAGCAAATTGATCATACTAATTAAAGGATCCGTAATTGAAAGAAAACTTTGCTAGTTTTAGAATATTCTTATTCATCAGTGATATTGATTTCTCTGTTTCTCATCTTTAGTCTCTGTTTTTAAATATATAATCTGAAGTTTATTAATTTTCCAGCATTCTTCTGACGTTCTTATTTAGAAATATGATATTTTTCCAGTCGCGCAAACTGCATTTTTATTACTTTGTAGAACAAATACCCGATCTAATGTCTAATCCCTTTATTCTTTCGACATATAACTATTCTTCGATATATCAAGACGTAATTTTTAGTAATAACAATAAAGTTATATTTCACTATCTTTTATAGGGTAATTCCGGTATGTACGCCGCAGCTAAGGAAAACTTAATTTATTGAGTACTATTTACTATGTTTAAGGCAAATGAATTATACTAATAAAAACTTTATACTGTCTACTACTATAAAAAAATAGAAATATAAAATATTCATTCTTTGTATTTAAAAAACTTTTAGAAACTCTTGCATTTTTGCCATATATCCCAGAAGGGTGGGTTATATAACATTCATGGGTAAAACATATACGCCTTATAAAAAATTACAAATAATGTTTATAAATAAGGCAATAAAATGTGTGTAAAAAGTGTATTAAGATGTAAGAATGATAAACAAATTATAAAACTAAAAACTTTTAAAAAGAAAATACAAGAGCGATAGATGCATTAAAGATTATTGTTATACGATCCAAAAAAAGAAGGAAAACGAACACATAGGAGATTTCGAGTTTTACAAAGTGTCTGTACTATGGCATAAATCTCGCATGCTAACTTGTCGTATATCCTAAATAAGAGGGATATACAAGATATTAAGTTAAACAAAAATACAAGAGCTATGCACTTGTATATTTTGCTGTATATTCCATCATTTACTATCTCTCTACACTTATGTATCATGAAATAACCATTAAACCTTTTACATTCCCTACAGAGTAATCATTTTACGTAGGTCGTAACACAAGATCGCGCTTCTTACTACGGTGAGAAATCGATTCAACTCACGACAGTTATATTAACAGTAAAGAACTGAAATTTCAACACAATACTAATATGGCATAAAGGCACATAACAGAATAATTGCAAGCAAGTACCGTCATTCCTTCTATTTTTTCTGACATCTGCGACAGTAAAACCCCGCGCGGCGTAAATATCGGAGTTACCCTATATCTCTCTAATTTTAAACTCCGAATATTTCGATTATTACATTTAAAAATATTAAACATATTTTGTTTAAAGAATTGAAAAAGATTTTATCAATGTTCTTATGTTATATATAAATCCGGTATCGGTAATTTTTATTAATCCATAGTTTGAATGACAGAGAAGGTAATTGTAAAAAAATATGTAGTTACTGTATGTAAATTTTTAAGTAATACATACCAATTAAACTTTTTCAATTTACTTCGATGTCGAATTAATTTATGGCAAGTTGGAGACGAAATTCTATGTTATAGCGTTTCTCATGATAATCCACTTAGTGTTTCGCAAACATTATAATACGCTTACATCTTTTTATTTCAAATTAATGGCCACGTATCCGAGAACAGTCCGCAGATATTGCAATATCTTGAATAATTACTTTCCGCCCAATGCGCAAACAAAATGCAATAAACATTTTCTCAGTTACTTAACGTATTTCTGTTAAGGTTCTGCGAGCATGCCATCGAATGAGCACTCGAGTTGGTTTTCATGAGAATGTAATCATGATTATAGGATAATAAGATGCAACTGCTATGAGATTTGCATTTGTCTTACGTGTGTCTTGCTCGCGTTATTTTATAAATGTATAATATCCATAAAAGCAAACTATATAATTTGTTGAGATTGATATTTCGTGCTGATTAATTTTGGAGCTTCGCTGACTTTCGAAATAATACTGATTAGACTGAGATTAAAATCTAACGATTATAGATTATTTAATTTTTGACTGAAAAGCAAAATTTTAAGAGAAGATATTTCGAATACGGACTAATTCTAAAGTGCACGTTTATTATTTGTATGAAAATATTATGATACAATAATTATAAACATAAAGAATATCAATACATAGTATAATAAACAATTTAGACGGAATAGGTCAATAAATCTATTTAACTAGGGCAGCGATCACGTAACTTCCTGCCTAGGGCAAAAACGTGAAAAGTGAAAATTTTCACGTGAACTCGTGATCGTGTAATTCGACGAAATGTGGAAACGTGATCTCGTCAATAATAAAAAAAAATTCACGCGGAATGGATAGAGCAAAAAGTAAAAAGCAAAAAATTAAAAGTTTCACATGAAATTACGTGATCAATACCTAAAAATATGTGTCTTTTTGGTCATTTAACTAATGAATTTTGAAAGCTGTTTACTGAGGACTAACGAGAATTAACAATTCATTAAATATATAAAAAAGGCCAAAATTAAAATTATCGATTATTAATTATTTGTTACAAAGATCTATAAGGAACATCAAAGATCTTATGAAGATCTTTAAAACGAACAATGTATATATGTTATGAAATCGGAATTTAAGCGACCCAACCGGTCAAATAATTTCTGATTTGTGAACTATTTACTGGCGAAGAAAAAGTTTCTGTCATGTATATGTTATGGTCAAAGCCCGAAACGCGGGTAATCCTAGGATTGACTAAGCAATTCTGCCAAACGACCAAACGTCTTAGTCAAAGTCTTTGTAGTAATTTGTTAATATGTGTGGTGTATACAGTACACAAATAGACGGGAGAGGGCTTCCGTCGCATAAAAAAATTAATCTAAGTCTAAGCCTATTCCTAAAAACTGCTTTAACTAAGACGTTTAGTTGTTCCGCAAGATTGACCAGTCAATCCTAGGAATGCCACGTTTCGAGCTTTGACCATAACATATACATTCTTTTCAATATAAGTTCTGCTCGTATATAGCAAAGTAATCTTAAAAATTTTTAATATTACGTATGTTTCATTATGATAAAAGTGCAACAAAAGTTTTAAATTAAATTTTCTAATATATTTTATATTATATTACAATTTTGTTATATTAATAATATATTAATGTGTATGTATATTAATATATATTAATAATCATTATATATAATGAGAGAGAATGCTATATTTGTCTAAAACGTTACAATTTGTGACTACAATTAATCTAGATCAAAAAAAGTGTAGAACAGAACTTCAATTAGAAACGGAAATGTTGTACTGTACGTACCGGATTCGCATCCGGCGAAGCAGAAGATTAACACAATAGAAGTCTGCATGAAAATTGTCCAAGCCATCTGATATATTTTGATACTACTTTATGTGTATGAACGATCGAATAAATACGTTCCAGCAACGTAGCCCGAGGTTGTTTATTGCCTGCAAATCGATTTTAGTTTATTTTTCCGTATAATAAAATTTTGTTTTTTAAATAAATTAAAATAAAAATTTAGAAAAATTCTAAGCGAAAGATTTTTATTTTATTTATACAGAAAGATTATTTCAACATTAATGACGTTAACTCAAGTACGACTTTTAAGGCCATTGCACGTAAAAAAATTTTAGTCATAATCGTAAGGTTGTAAGGAAATAGACCAATCACACTCGATTATTCTTCAAGCGCGAGAAGAATAATTGACTGTGATTGGTCTATTTTCTTACGGCCTTACGATTATGACTATAATTTTGTTACGTGCAATGGCCTTTAGAAATACTAGCGAAAGCATTTTATTTTCTGAAAGAAATCTGAAGGAAATATAATGTTTTCGTTAATTAATATCGATCACATGCAATCAACTGCTATTAGACGATAATATAAATTATTTATGCGCAATCTAAACAAATTTTCAATAATTCTTTATTTTATTAGTCAAATGTATTATTATCAATTTTATTTTTAAACTTATAATTACGTTTTATTAAATGAAATAAACCTATGGGTGTTTGTATAAAATGTAAATTGCTTTATACTATAGAAACTTAACTAAACATTTTTTAATAAACAAAAATTTTAAGATAAAATATAAAAATCATTTGTCTTCACGTAAAGGAGGGTCCACATTATCGAGCAAAACCGCGAACCGATCATGCGTCCACATTATCGAGCCGAACTTTGTCGGCTCGACAATGTCGGTTCGCGGTGAAGTTCGGCTCGCGGTTCTGCTCGATAATGTGGACCCTCCTTAAAGGAGGGTCCACATTATCGAGCCAAACCGCGAACCGAGTCCCGAACCGAGCCTCGAGCAGAACTTGCAGACGAACCTCAAATCGAACTCCATCGCGAACCGCGAATATGAGTTAAAATTTTTTGAAGTCAAATCTTGTATTGAAATTTATAATAAAATTTATATAAATTCTTAATACATGTATGCAAAATGCATATTTATATTTACAATCGTATTTTTTAACATTGCAATATATATATTATAAATTTATTGCGTATTTATCACAGGTTTAGAGTATGTTTATGCAATATTAATTCTAAATTTTGTTTTATGGTTTGAAAAGGAATTAAGTTTTGAATACAGGAAAATAATAAAAGCACATATACATATATTCACTCACCTTTTCCTGTTTCCATACTTTTTTTATTTTTGCTTTTTCTCTTTGCAGAGATGCCAATAATGTCGTCATCTTTTTTTTGCACATTTCACTATCACATTCGAGTTCTTTACTTATTTCTTCTTATAAAAAAAGTATGAGAACAGGAAAAGACGACTAAATATGTGTATACATATGCGTGCTTTTATTATTTTCTTGTATTCAAAGCTTAATTCCTTTTCAAACCATAAAACTATATTTAGGAGTGGTACCAACGTACTATATTTAATATTGCACAAACATACTCTAAATCTATGATAAATACGCAATAAATTTATAATATATATTGCAACGTTAAAAATACGATTGTAAATAAATATGCATTTTTTTAATTGTTATAGTTCGGGATTTTTAGCGTCCCGTATATAATAATCTTTTCTGCTCATAATCACTAGTTACTTTTAAACATTTTTTATCAGACTATTCCATTTTGTCTACCAGTAGTCGTGTAGACTGCACATACGTGGATAGAATCAAATACAGCGACTGGGCAATTACTCACGTTTTCTTTCATCGTTCATTTTTTGTTTTTTGTCATTATTTGTCTAGCTCGAAGCTTAACTACCAGTCTACCACCCGACAAAGCGTATAATCTGATCATAAAAAGCATCTTTTGATGTTTCGTCGGAATACCGACTTTTGGTGGGACACTGCGAGCCAAACCGCGTATCATCAAAATCCTTGCAGATTCGTGGGGTGAGTACGCGATGGTTCGCACTGATGTTCGATTCGAGGTTCGCGAGCCTCGTGCGAGTCCGTCGGCTCGACAATATGGACGCATGATCGGCTCGCAACGAAGTTCGGCTCGCGGTTCGGCTCGATAATGTGGACGCATGATCGGTTCGCGGCGAAGTTCGGCTCGCGGTTTTGCTCGATAATGTGGACCCTCCTTAAGGTTAAAAAACTTAAAATCCTGTTTCGGTTCTGGTTTGTTATTTAAATTTTCAATCTTTGCAAAATCTCTAAATAAAATCAGAGATAATAACACAAGAAAACAAATCAAATATATCTCAGAATGTATTGTACTGATTGTAGATTTTACCTCGTCGGAGATTTTCACCGTTCAAGACCTCTACCTTCTCTTTTTCTATACGCTCGCAAAATAAGCGTGCGTGTCACTTCACCTTTGCAAAGACGAGCGAAACACCGCTTCAGACTACGAAAGCGTTCTGCATGCGTTTCACTGAATTTGAGGATTCTTTCTGCTGACAGAAGAAGGGTCGATTTTGATCGAAGAGATTGGCGACTGAACTCAAAGCCGGGGTGTCGCAACCACGGCTTTTATATACGGTGGCAAGCTCTACGGTGGTGCATGGTGGGGCTGAGCAACTCCACCCTCCGGATGCGCACCTGCGTCGGTGACGGGGGACACGGGGGACTTGGTGGCGAGCGAACGAAAACAATTGTCGTGGGTGGGATTTAATTGAAAATTTATGATAACACTAAGATTTTGACATTAGCCCCGACTAGATATTGAAAGCAGAAAGCGCCTTTAAATCCGGATAAATCAAACATTATTTAAAAATGGATTTCCTACAGTGTATAGCTATTTCATGATGATGTACACATCGAAAAAAAATTTCTAATCGTAAAAATAATTCTTGCAATTATCTCAACTAAAACTTAAAGCTTATTTCATGTATTTTCATGTACTTCAGATTTTAATTCATATACGTTTAGTACTATATTTAGCTTATACATATATTTAGTATATTCAGAACTTCAAACTAGTACAACTGGTGTCCCAGAATTATCATTGCTCTTTTCCTTTATCAGATCCTTTGATTAATTTCTACATTAAACGTTTTCGCAATCAAGCATCAATTTACTTTTTGAGAAAGTAAATTGCGTTTGATATTTAATAGTCTTGAAATTAAAAGGTAATTAATGTTCTGTTATAAATTTGTGTGGCTGAGGTTCAACTTTTGTTTAAAGCTCATCATCTTTCGCTACATGAAATTCGAAAACTAATTTGTATCTCGATTAATGTATGCAGAATATGTTTGTCATTTCTTAGGCGTTTACCCTCTCATTCGCGGGTGTACGAATAAGAGCACACATGTAAAATTTAGGGCTCGCACGCACTAAAAACACTCCCCTCTGGCATCCGGTCTCCGGTATCCCAGGGACCCCGGGACTTGCACTTGTCGCACTACGTCAAGGCCCCAAGCTAACCGCGTGCTTTTAATCATATATTTTAATCATAATTTTATCATTATAATTCCCCACCTATTGTTAGTTAACGCTTTTTCAATATATCTGTTAGTTTTCTCATGTACTCTATATTACAGATCACATATCAACTAATTGAAAAAATCGTAATAAGATTATATCTCAAGACATACAACATGCTTCCCCAAAGAAATGTGATCTGTGTTATCTAGCGTTATTATACTAGTATAACCGCCTGTAACTTTTCGAGATATCATTCTGCCGGCCATGTGGCTGCAACACTTGTAATTAGTATTATCTGAAGAAAAACCACAATAACATCTCGTACCAAGAAATATTTCTTACCATGTAGGTATATAAATAAAGTTTTTCGCCGAAACGCCACCGCGCACTCCACCTTTCATCGAAACGAGAGCGTGTTTCGAAAGATAATTTTTGTGCTCGCGCTTTTTAAATTACTAAATGGACCGGGGAGTCTCGCGTGACGCACGAGGAAGGTGCAACAAGTTCCCGGATGGCTGTAGATCAGCTGGACGCCCGCAAGTGGTATAGATATCGTAGGGTGCATCGTCCGCGGGCGCGCTAACCATAAGTAGATACGAGCATTTCTAGTCAGACCTCATAGACGGATCAACGTCGTACCTGGCGCTTAGTAGATTCGGGTCAATCCTTTATTGACCTGCAATATTAATGAGCATTTTCGTTAATAGCTTGCTATATCTGCAATTTGCAGCCTCAAATAAGAATTCGGAATTGTGATCAGCCCGGATAATAAAAAAGACTTTTAACGAAAATTGTCGACGAAATTTTTCGTATGACAATTCCGACCGCGTATTAATGCGGAACGTAACGCTTCACGTTTGACAATAGAGAAACGGATGCACGGAACGAAGAAATCTCGGAAGAAATACGAATACTTTGTCAATAGATTATACAGCTAATTTTGGATGAGGAATATCCTGTTCACTGTTGAGAATAAAATTTATGTGATTAATGTGGCATTTTTTTTTACTAACAATTGCAACAGATTTGGAATCTCCTAGCAAAATATTTGTATTTCTTTTCGAATTATCCAGCATAACAGCGCGGCTATCTTTATTCGGATTACATTTACGGTTTAACCAATGTATTTCTTATACAGGTTGGGAATAATATGATAAATCAACCTAGACTAACAACAAACTTTTTGCCATTTTGAAGTGTCGAAGCATCAAGCGCATTGCAAGTGTATATTGAGAAGTTCAATATCGCGTCGCGCAAGAATTATGTCAACAGCTCTGTATCACCCGCTCTGTTTCATCATGGAGGAGAGTGGTCTCGCGTGCCAGTCGTAAAACCTAAGTCATCAGAAAGAGGAAGAGTGGCACAAGTCGCTTTCGTTGTCAATTACTTTCGCGGCCCTTCACATAGAAGGCAATAAACGGGCGATCCACTGACGATTTAATCTAACGCGCACGGAGAATAGTCACCGAATTACGCATTTGAATGTTGGGCTGCTTTCGTCACTTCACAAAATTCACGATTAATATAATTTTATGGCGCCAGGTTCAATGGCGCGAAATTTGTTGGATCAATATATAACCCTTTCCCTTGTAAGCGGTATACAAATTGTCCCTGCCATTTTTTTAGCGCGATATTTTGATATTTAATGAAAAGGATTACGTTTACGGATTACGTATCGATTACAGATTATTATATTTCAACTAAGCTTAAGGACGTTCTCTCGTCCTTATACTAGAGAAAATCGATTTTCTTAGGATTTTCTTGAAACTGTGAATATACGTCAATTTTTAGGTGTGCTTTATGCGTGGTATAAATTTCAGTATCTTTTCCGGTATAAAAAATCAAGATACTGACCCTAAATTTCATATTTAAAAGAGAGAGACAGAGAGAAGAATAAAATTAATTTGAAAATTTTTATATTACTAAGAATTAAATTCTCGAGGAAAAATAAATATAATAACAGCATAATTCCTTTTCTTCTTAATTCGCCAAGCTTCTTATAATCTGTAAGCAAAATTCCTACTCGCATATTAAACTCGATGAATCTCGGAAAGAATTTTCTACCAAGAGCCAAGAAGCAATATGTCGAATCATTATAGGCTTGCAGGAAGTGTTCCACTAACTAAGAAAACGTCCCTATTACGCGATACTACTTGATACTACCAGATTTCACGATAATGAGTCCGAATTCTTCGATTCTCTGGAGATTGAAATGTAATTCAGCATATAATAGGGTCACGCCGGGAACTTATCGACAAAAACATACATATATTAAATATATATTTGCATATTTACACCTACACACAGAAAAGTACGTACTACCTGTAAATATTACTTGTTCTATAAAGTATTTGTTAAGTTTTTATATATCCGCAAATCTACCATAAAATTATCACAAGCATTTTATTTACTCAAAGCATATTCTGGATCTTAGCAAATCTAGTATTTCAAACAAGAAAATTTTATTAATGCAAGAATTCGGTTTACTTACTGTATAGAGTCTACGGAAGAGAAATGTATACTTATAAATATACATTCTTGAAAGAAGAATAAATTCTTATTTTGAGCACAAAATGATGAGTTTTGTTTAAGATTTGTGCTAAGTATATATCTTGAAACTATTATTAAGAAAATATTCTTTGTTGAAGAAAACTATTATTTTAACCAAATAAAATAAAATAAGTAATTGTTTTCCTTGTCTGTAGAATGATTTTTTTCTGCGTGTACCATGTTTTATATTACGCAGTTCTTTATTTAGTTGATGAGAACAGTGGCTTTAATTCAGAAAGTTTGGAACACGGTAGCAATTTCGGATTATTATTATTCTCTCGCTCGATCGATTGGAATATTCATAAGATTAATTGAATTAATTATCGGCCTCACAAAACCTGTTAACATTTGGTTTTCATATAGTTCGCAAAGATCATAATCACGAAATATTTGTGCAGAAGAGATATGTTATCCATAATTAATTTTCACTGTATGCATGTGTTTAAAGAATAGATTTAGACGTCTATTAGATAATAATTATCAATTACCTTTCTCATGCTCAACAATAAATTTTATTACACCTACAAATCAATGAGGCACATAAGTATAGGGGAGACCGGAGCAAACTTGACACTAGGCTTTTTGCCAATTTAAATCTATCGTAGGAATTTGCCTTTCCTACTGTAAATGCATTTTTATGTGCCAGTGTTGTCAACGGAATTCGGTGACATTCAGAGTTATAGTGTAATTTCTAATGCGATATAAGTGTTTTCGATGGTCAAAAGTAATTTTTCTAATCTCTCGAAAATTGCCACTCTTTTATCGAGCTTTGCTGTTTCAAATCTACAGATAAGTGATTTTGATGGAAAATTCGATGCTCTATATGAATCTGATAATTATTTTTGCATATTTTCAAAATTTTTATGTTTTTGGAGTGACAAAAGTGAAAAACGACGTCCGGAGCAAAGTCGACACCACGTCGTTTCATCGGCTTCCAATAACAAAACGATACTGCAGCCGTATGGCTCATGATAAATGTGTGCGCACGTCGTTGAATTTACCTGCATTAATTGTTTTTCAGACACGAGTTTAGCTTAAGATAATTGAAAGTTTAATAACTTTGTTTCTCATTACTTCCAATGATTGTTTTACTTTAATCCGCATTTTTTTATTTTTTAAATACACGATAAACAATGTATTTTTATTTTCAGACAATAAAAAATTAAGTTCCAGATCAAGTTGTGTCGATCAGGTAAAGTGTCGAGTTTGCCCCGACATTTTTCAATTTAAAAACTTGTTTTCGCGTCACTTTTTTTTTACTGAGGAAAACTAAGCGATGTACAGCAAAACTTCCTTAAGCAATTTTGATAATTTGCGAACGTTTGTTGGTGGAAACAGGATTTCGAAAACGTAATAAGAGCCACGCACGTCGGATGCCTACGTATACGCACGTATGTCGGCGTATACGCAGACACGGGCCATTTCACAGCGGCAATCGATATGCGCTTGCAATAAAAAAGAGGGACAAACGAGCCGCGTAAAATGTATACAGCGGGTCGATTCCGTAGAGGCAGCCCCGTGGGTGGTGGGCTCCGCGCTGCCGTTAATATTCTATTTTCGCAATCGTGTGGATTTGAGGATATATATCGCTTATGTCAAAATAGAAGGAAGGATAAAGCTGAAATTTACAGAGATTGTGCACTTATATATCCCAAAAACCTGTTAAATTTGCGATCGATTGTCTGACCCGTTTCTAAGATATTCGCTTTAAAAGTTACAGAAATTGTATACACATATATATATATGTATATATATATATATATATTCCCTATATATAAATATAATATTATGTATCTCTGCTCCTGTACAGTAAAAATGAATGAAATTTTTATGGTACACTTCTATGACATCGAGAATTGTAATTACGGTTTTTTAAATTTTCCTGATATTTTTTTTTCAATTTTTAAATAAATTATTTAAACAATATTAAGTACAAAAATAGGAAAAAACTGCGATTTTTACGCTTTTTCTGTCCCAATGACATGTTGTTTATAAATCATCATTTCTGAGACTAGCTTTACACTGTTTAATCAAGAAAACAAAATTATACTACATAGCACATGCGACAAACCTCCTTAAGCTCTTTCATACGTCGTGGTGTGGTAAATACAACTTCATGACGTCGCGCGTATTACGAGCTCGTCCCGTCGCAAATGTGCCGTCAAAAAGCCTCGGCGTGATTCCGTCGGCATTGACAATTTGCAAAAACGCTTCGATGAACTGTGCAAGGCCGAAAGGGCAAAATCTCATGCTTCCGCAAGGTCTCGTGGCATTTATCGAGTTTTTATAAGACAAGATATTAGGCGGAGGATAATTTTCTTTTCTTTTTCTTGCCCGTAGAATTATTAGAATAGCTTTAAATTTACGAAGATTCTAGAAAATTGAAATACTTTATATAATTTTAGAAATTTTTGAAAAATAACTTCTAGCAAATTACAATAAATGTAATTTGTATAAAACAATAGTGAAATATATGGTGAAAGTAAACGTGTGATGTAAAATACGCAAGAATAACAATTTTTTATTAAATAACACAGATATGTAAATACTATTTCGAGATTTTTTAAATTTAGTAGGAATTTATATTAATTGTAATATGATAACGCGTTACAGTAAAAAACAATTTATTGGCCTTTTATTTGTATTTTTAAATAACTAAGAAACATGAAACTCTCACCGCAAATCCGTGCTAAATTGTTGAAAAAAAGCCAAAGTTTTAAATAACAATGTTTGAATAAGTCTGCAAACATTATTTGGCATTTTCTTCCCGTTTTATATTAAATATTAACAAATTAAAAAAAGATATGTTAGAAAATGTAAATAATTTCTTATGTAATAAGAAAGAATTACTAACCGTTTGTTTGCATCATTTTTTAAATATTATGTCGCAGCTTTATTCTTTCACTAATATAAAAAAATATATAAAGACAAGATTATATATATATTATTTTATTTACGTATTAGTAGAAGAAAGTTTCAGAGAGAGGGGTGAAAAAGAAGGGGGAGGGGAGAGGAAAGAGAGGGGGAGAGAGAGAGAGAAAGAGAGAGAGAGAGAAAGAGAAAGGTGTCTGTTATCAATGTTATCTATAAAGACATAACAACTAAAACTTCCGATTTCACTTGTGTTGCAAAATTAATTAACAGTAAAAAAAATATGCATAGTATATCGATATTAAATTAACTGTGATTGATTGACAAATCAGTTAGACGTTAGACACATTTATTCAGAGAAACTTTGATATTTGTCAGTTGTAAGATCTGGCTAATATCGATATCGATTATTATGTAATTTAGCAGCGTGAAAGTTAAAATTAAATATGATTTTATATATTAATAACATCATTTTCTTCTAATTACGATGCGATGTATATACATATAAAGTTACTTTGCCTTTCCGCAAAATTTTAAATCGCACCCTTCGTCGCGACTCCTCGTATTTTACGATCGATTTCACGTGTTTACGATATTAATGTCAGTCTCTCTTTTCTTATTCCGATTGTACGATGATACGAACGCGAAATCAGATATGCAGAGTGAAGAATGATGTCAAAAGCTTTTGGCAGCGTTTGTATTATCTGCAAATGTATCGTGCGAGTTGGTGGAATGTGGTGTGAATGTCAATTAAAATGAAAGTGTGAGAATACTGCGAGCTGCGACGATCGTAAAATACATACGTATATATACATATACTTTGCGAGCCAGTAAATTGGTTTTAAGTCGACGAAGAGCATTGCCCGGCAATGCCTGAAACCTTTGTTATATCAATATAACTATAGTATACAGTATATACAATGATTATATTAATATCTATTGTAATAATATATTGTAATAATATAATAATATTGTATATATAATATATACCCATAATGGCTATATTGATAACAGTAAATACATCATATATTATGTATCAAGAGACACAACAGTATCTCGTGCCCAGTGTACGCGTAAAACAAAGCAAGTAAAGGCACGGGCGCGACTCTACTTACGCCTACGCCGCCCAACTATTGTTTATAGCACGGGGATTCTCTAACTCCTTAACGACAGGTTCGGTATCGTTGCGCAGGTATTATATGGTAAAAAAAGCTGCGCAACGATATCGAAACTGTCGTTATAAGGAGTTAGAGAATCCCCGTGCAGCCAAGATTTATCGTTCCGTTATATAACGGCTAAATCGATGAGATTCTGAGTTCTGAGTGGACTCAATCGCTTCCTTGGTTTTATATATACATCACAAAACTGTCTTTACTTTTGCTCTACGTGTTCTATGAACTGCATGATATATTCAAGTTCAAAGCCAGAAATCGCCAAAGTTTTACGTAAAATAAACCGTTCTCCAAATGTCCAAGTGAAACTTCTGTTAGATGGCACGTGACAAGTCATATGTGATATCAAAATTCCTTTGTGCTAAATAAGGTTATTTCTACTGGCTGTATTTTATATTTTCTCTAATAACAAGTAGAAACTTGCACATTGCTTCCTCATAGTTTTTAAGTGTGCAAGTAGAAACTTGCACATTGCTTCCTCATAGTTTTTTAAGTATGCAAGTAGAAACCTGCACATTGCAAGTTTCAGAGTTTCTACTTGCACACTTAAAAAACTATGAGGAAGCAATGTGCAAGTTTCTACAAACGATTCCGAAACAGCACCCGTTTGCGGATTTAAAATATCTCTAAGAACGGTGAAGATAACTCTTACCGTAAAATCTGTATATTCATATAAATATCTCGTTATTTTATTGTAAAGTGTTATTAAAAATGTGCAAATTAATATGAAAATTATCAACTCAAAAATATTTCTATATAAAAATGTATTCTGTCCCGCGACAAAGTATTCACTGGATCTCACGTCATTCGTTACCCCGTTATAAAAAATTAATTATCACTCACCGACCAGATGCGCAACGGGCGGAGTTAGTCAGGCACGTAGCTCCGATGATTCTGTAACACAAAAACGAAAGATTCAAATTAAAGAGCCGCTCAAAATGACCAATGTTTCAAAAAATAATTTTTACACGCGTCTACGTCGTTTTTTAATTAGATTTACTAATGTAATTATTTATTTTCTGGGAAAAATCTTTACGAGAATAAACTTTTAT